TATATATATTTCTTCTCTGTAGGGAACATACGAACGTCATATCACGACATATACATTCACAACACGTGCTGTCTGTTCCACAAGCATGGCAACGTTATCGTTTTGAGCTCTTTGCCGACAAAGCTCCGAGTCTCTTCTATGATACCACGTCTCTTCTCTCTATTTCTCTATTTCTCTCTTTATCTTTATCTTTATATTCCTCTATCCTTCGTGTTTAGGACATCGCATGTTTACAAAATTTCCTTCTATATTTCTATAGAAAGACACCATTACGATCGAAAACTTACAAAAATTACTATGAATCAAATCTTCTTCTCTGTAATGTTAACACCTCTTTTATGATTATCTATCTTTCTTTTTTTTTCTTTTGAACGAACCAAGAAACTCACGATGATCAACGAAATATTTCAAAATTCGAGTTAATCGTGTTTTATTTATTACGAAGAGAAATATTAATAACTCGATAAATAAATTCTAATTAAAAATCGCAAACAACCTACGGCGCTAACTTTGCAGAGATGTTTAACATGATGATGATAATGATGATGATGATGATGATGATGATGAAAGTGACAGGACTAAATTACTGTATTACGTGTATGCGTGCGAAAATGATCGATCAATCTTTCTCCCATCGTTTTCTAACACAAGAAGCAACAGTTTCGACATCATCTTTTGAAATATTAACACGTTTAATACCGTCATTGTCATTTCCATATACAATATATACCTGGCAATCAATTTTGTGTGTTTTTTTTTTTGATTATATAATAAATTATAATATAAAAGATATAACGTTATATAGAGGTATTAAATAAACACCATTCATCTAGGTTTTTTTTTTATTCAATTTGGTATTCGACGTGTTAACAAAAATTGTGGATTTTAATATTTTATTATACCCCATTCGATTAATTTGATTTATTTTATTTATACATTGTATTTATTATGTAATATTTTTTTAAATTAATCATCATATAGTTTTATATAAAATATTTCCCCCTTTCGAGGAAATATTTTCTAATGAAAATCAATACGTTTTTTTAACATAATAAAATATGATACTTAACTCTTTCCACTTAGTACGATTAAAGTCTTATACTTTTATACACTTAAATGTATAAGACTTAAGAACTACAAGAACTACAACTACAACTACTCTTGTAAAGAAGTCTTTAAGTTACCGCTTGCGTATATTACAAAATTGGCTAGAGTGCAAAAGGGTTAAAAACATCCTATTAGGTGAAATGAAACATCATAAAGCTTGCCTTCATAAATATCATATAATTTAATCATCACTTCTAGTCTTTCCTATAATTTATTTATTATAACATTTAATAAAAATGTTAATCACAAAATTAATTTAATAAAATTTTCTAATATACACATAGTCACTATTTATATTAATATTAAATAACAATTATTATTCAATTAATATAGCTAGCACTCAGAGCACGCCATTTTATTTTCTACTTTTTTCGAATATTAAAATCAAAGACAATAATTTAATAATCTCAATCAAATGAAAGTCAAATGTCATTATATTCATACATTTTTATTTTTTTTTTTAATCGGTTGGCAACTAAGTAATTGCGAATTTTAAATAAGAAGAAAAATTCCAAATGTTTTCTAAAAAATATAACTTTGGGTTCTGTACTGGTTCAGGTACTGTCCGTTTTTGCCATCTTTCAGGCAGCGTCATAATTCCATGTTCATCAAATTTCTGATCTTTCCTATCAAAAAACTGAATTAAATGTGATCACTTAATTACCAATCCAATATTATTAACCCTAGAACTACTAACTGGAGTAGAAACCTAAATTAAATGAAGATTTGATCGTTTTTCAGTACTTTAATTTATTTAAATTAATTTTTCACCGATTGAACATTAATAAAATTGAATTTGCTCTTCAACATTCTCTTTGGCATGAAAAACAAAAAAAAAACAAAAAAATGCATATACTTAAAAATCTGATTATTGCTATCAGAACAGTTTTTAGGATTAGAAAACCTTGGGGGTAAATATATACCCCAATTTTTAGTTTGAAGATTAACAAAATAAATTTATAATTCTAGGATTAACATTATTAACAAAAAAAAAACAAATGTATATAAGATACAAAATAGTAAATTTCAATGCACCATGGTGTGGTTACCTGGCCCAGCAATAATAATTACAATGCATAACAAATCAGAAATATCATTAACGATCTGTCAATAAATATAGATAAAAAAAGAAAATGTAGGGGGGAAGTACCGAAACCAAAAAAAAAACCAAACAAAAAAGAAAACAAAAAATAAAGGAAAGAAAAAATAAAAAAAAGGATCGATTATGGAATATTTTTTAGTCGGAGGCGAGTGCACTGTTGGACGACGAAACTAAAACCGGGGTTGTAACTGGACGAAGTGGAAGAAATCTACGACACGACGTGCAAACTAAGATCTCAAGACTCCGTCAGGATCGGGCGTCATCTGAGGCCTTCCCATGCAGTGCAAGCAGCGTCGAAAGTCTTCCAAGCGGAAGTGGTTCAAGCACGCAAGCTTTGGTCAGAGCGGGAAGTAATCACAGCTCGATATCGTGCGAAGAAAGGGACGCCATAAGCCCAACCACCATCGGCCCTGTACTTTGCAGGGCGAGAGCCTTGGTCGATTACACACCTAGTCCTTACGATAAGGACGCGCTCAAATTTAAGGTATGTTTTCACTATTACGGAAGTCCTTTTACGAACGATAGTGAATTACCATAAACTAAAAAAACCATGCTCTAACCTCTATTACTCGTTACAAAGTTAACGAGTAACCTTTTATTATACTATTTTTTTTATCCTTTTTTGTTTTCTCTTAAAAAGCAACTATCATATTGTGCTAGGCTAGTATTTATTGGGTCAGTATTTTAAATAAAATATAAATTTGCATACCCCCTTTTTTTTATATCAAAATATTAGATTGTCCCATAAGTTCTTATCGTGCCACGCTATGTATGATTTCGAGCTAATTTAAGTTTATCTATTGTTCATTTTTATGGCATCGATTTAAGTTTTGATATCTATTTAAAAAACACTGATCAATTTTTTAAAATATCGATTAAATATAACAATATAATTATTCTTTGTTTAAAAAGAAAAAGAAAAAAAGAAGGAAAATAAAATATTTTTATACAGAAAGGAGATATCATCGACGTTGTACAGATGAACAAGAGTGGTCTCTGGAAAGGTGTCGTCCACAACAGAATAGGACACTTTAAATTCATAAACGTGGAAATATTGAACGACAGAGTTTCAAGACGCGGTGACTCGGAACGTAGTAGCAAGTGGGGTCAAAGATACAGGCAAAAACCCGGATCAGTTCAAGAGCTCTTACAAAGAATGAATCTACAGGTAAAAATGCAACTTCCGTTAACCACACTAACGATGCAAATAAAATGTCTAAAAAAAAAATAAAGAATAAAAAGAAATCATTCTAATATCTCCCATTTATATTTCTTTACTTTTTCTCTTCCCCCTTTGTATGGTTAAAGTATTGTATATTTATCTAACAAACAAAATTTTTATTATATTTTCCGTTTCACATATTTGTCTTTTACCATCTCATTCTGTCTCGTTAAATTTCGAATACCAAAACCTTGGGAAGGTATCCGAATAAGCTAGCTAGGGATAACAGTGAAAAGGCAACTAACGTGGTAAACTACCTTTACGTTCGTGCAGGAACACATTTCCGTTTTCGTGCTGAACGGTTACGAGGATTTGGAGCTGTTCAGGGAAATAGAGCCAGCGGATCTCGATTATTTGAGTATACATCAACCGGAGCATCGTGCCAAGATACTTACAGCCGTACAACTACTACACGATCTTCAGTGTAAGTAAAACGATCAACTAGAGTACCTTCTGTTTCCTTTACGAGTAATCTTATAAGCTTTACCAAAACTATTAACTATCTATTCTCTCGTAATATAAATCTTGTCACTAATTTTTCACGTTAAAAAGTAACAACACTTTAAAATAAAATCAAAATAATTAAACAATAATCGATCACTTGTATATGGTGTATATTATTTGTTTGTTTGTTTTTTGTCTTTCTATTTATTTAACAGCTGGTAGCGAAGGAGATTTGGCATCGAGTTCGGAAGGAGATGAAGTTAGCAGATTAGTTCTTCATTCGGGTCAAACATCCGGCCACTGTTCACCGTTCAACCGACGCCAATTCCCAAGAGATTCTGGTTGTTACGATGCGCATAAGAACCCAACCAGTCGTCGAAACGTCAGTCCGGAATCATCAATAGGAACTAAGATGATATCGAGGGAAAATAATTTGGACGGTAGTCTCCAAAATAAAATAACAGGTGGTAGCGTAACTGGCGATGGTAATGCATTGGCAGATCTAGTTAAGGACGATTTTCATCCGAACATACCGATTGGTGGATCGATGTTATCACAAAAAGAAGGACAATTTGATAAGTCCCCTTTGTTACGGGGTGGCAGTGGTAGGGCAATCGGAAAGAGAAGTAATTTCGGGGAAACTGTAGTAATCGAGGAAACCTGCGAGGGTAATCAAAAACTTGGCATGGTCAAATACGTTGTAGGTGGTACCACTGATCTTGGACTTGAAGCTGCACGCGAAGTTGCAACCGCTTTGAGTCAGCGTGGTTGTTTAAGCGAAAAATCAAGCGACTCTGGTGTTAGTTCGTCTAGCATTAGTTCAGCGCCAGCCCCAAGAGACAAATCCTTGGTTACCGCAACGTGTACCACCGCACCACCAACTTCCGTCTCCCCGACTAAAAATCAATTCGGTAATTTTACGAGAACCCCGCCGATAACTCAAACCAGTTCGAAAAATCAAGGAAACGCGAGCTCGGAATATCCGTGATTTGTCTAGGAAATAATACGAAATTATGATTATGATGATGATTATTATTATGATTACTATTATTATTATTATTATTAATATTCCCGTTAAAACAATTACGAAAATATTAGAAATGGCACACAAAACTTTACTTTTAATGAAATAAAAATGACGAACAAAATATAATAAAGGAAACTTTTGAAAAACCGGATACGAGATGTTACTCGATCGGATGGATTAAAACTTGATCCTCTTGGTTCATCAAGTGGTTTCATTTAACCATCTATTCTTTCATTCGTATCGAGTACTACATATGTATATATCGATTAAACAAAAAAAAATGAAAATAAATAATAACGAAGAGAGGAAAGATAATCGAATAATAATGAGCTTGCATTGTTTCCTTTTTTTTCTTTCGATCAAGATCATTTGGTAAATGTACAATTTTCAAACTTTCTACGTCGTCGTTTTACTATTATCTTATTCGAAAATATTATTTGTAGGGAATGACGCGGGAAAAAAATATATTCCCTTTAAAAAATGATACATATGATCTATTATATACATAAACATATATATATATATATACACATATAAAATATATGTGTGTATGTGCGTTTATAAAGCGAAACTTCTTAAATCCGAATTTTCCTCGTGCGACGATAGGCCCAATGAGAATCCTACGACAAGCTAATACACTTACATACGTGCATGTATGTATACAAATAAAAAAAAATAAACTTAAACGCGAGATTCTCATATGCGATCAAATGATACACGTAGAAACTCGAATTATGTTCGAGAATTCCCTCGATAGCCTTTACCATTTTCGCTAATATAATATATTGTATTTCTATGTATTATTGCCTTGCTCTGAACTTTATACATACATACTTGAGTCATACAGCAAGAATAAAAAAAAAAGAAGAAGAAGAAATAAAGAGAAAAA